CCTATATAAATTATAATTTTGGCAAAAAACTCATGTTAATGAATATTTTTATCCAAAGTTTCATCCCATTTTTTGCGTGAAATTTTGCAATTATATTCCATTTTTAATCCCCTTCAGCCGATTATAGTCTTTTTCAATCAATTACAGTCTCTTTTAATTGACCAGTTTCGGTCTTCGACTTTGCTTTAAAGTCGCTTAGAACTTATGCTTTACATAGATAATCGATTTCAGAATATTTCAGATCATTTCTAATGAAAATTATATTTTTCCTGTTACGACAATTTTTGGAAAAATAAGACTGAATGTTTGTGCTCGGGGTGATTTTTTCCAGAAATATTTCGAATTTTAAATTGAATTTTTTAATAAAATATTTTTATTCCAAAAACTCCGGTGTTCTAACCTCAAAGTTAAAAACATATTTTCTTTGTGATCATTTTTCATAAAGCTATTGGGATTTAAAGATTGTCACTTTGGCCAATATGGGACAATTAAAGTGCAATATATTTCGCGCTTTTAACGCGTAATTGGAGATTCAACCCGTTTCAGTTCCAAACTTGGTTGAGGCGTGCTCCTTAGTCCATTTAAAAACTTGCTGAATGCAAAATGTGGTACATTGTACTTTACATAGCGCGTAGATGGATGATTTACAAAAAAAAGTTTCAAACAATATTTTGTACCATATTTTTTTTTGAAAGTTTCATCAATTATTTCAACTTGAATTTTTCCATAAAAATTAAAATGCAGTCGGATAATTCTGGACTTGGCCTTGATACGAGCAGTCTTTTTTTATTTCTGATGATGATGTAAATTTTTTTTAAAAAAGTTTCACTAAAATATGTAAACATGTTTCTACTTGATCATTAGTTTGGCTCAGTTTTTCACCTAGCTCGCGGAGTTTTCAATTAAATTCAAGGCATCTATGTGAAGTTTTTGTTTTTGGTGAAATGGTCTGTTAAACTGAACCAAATAACCGAAATCAAATTTCACGTGTAAAAAGTTTTGTTAATGATCGCGAAAAGTGATGTTAACATTGAAAAAAAAAATAACAAAAAACCTTAGATTCGACAAAAGTTATCAATTCAACTTCAAGAATCATCACTTCAAAACAAAAATAAAGCTGATTTTAATTATCTGTAAAAAAACAAAAAAAAAATGAAATTTGAAACGAGTTTTTCTCTAATTGGATGGAATTAAGACAAAAATGATGATGACAAAAACTTGATGAGAAATCAGCACATTTAATATGCTGCAACTTTTTTTGCAAAAACAGTCGATCAAAAATTACGCAAGAATATACTAGAGTGAGCCTCCTCAAAAAGCCAAAAAAAATGAGAAGGATATGATCGTCTCTTCCGTTTTGTTTAATTAAATTTATTTTCGTGAGATTTTCTTTTTGTTCTATTTCGTCAAAAAGTGTTATTTTCTATTAAGTATCAATTTTTTTTATTTCACAATACATTTGGACATTTTTTTGAACATTTGGACAATTTTTCTTTTAAAAATACATTTGGACATTTTTGAAGATTATATCAGGGGCGGATCTAGGATTCTTTCGAGGGGGAGCGGATTGCCGATTTTCAAAAAAAAAAATTTCCTAGGTCGACCGAATTAATTTTTCGAGATCTCTCATCCTAAGCACGGTTTAGTCCCTGTTTTGGCCAAATTTTCTGTGCCGCAAGCAAAATTTTGAAAAAACAGTCCAAAAGAGGCGTTTTTAGATACTTTTTGGAAAATTTTGACCAAAAAATTGCGTTTTTTCGGCGCGGTCTCCCCCCTCAAAATTAGTATATACTGGCGCCAAAGGCGCTTTTAGAAAAATTTTAGAGTCGGTTGGCCAAAAATGGATTTCTTAAAAGGACCAAAGGGGGGACCCTTTGGGTCGGTAGGGGTTCGAATCCCTGAGGAAAGGCGTGCCCCCCGCCCTTCGCCCTAAATCCGCCCCTGGATTATATTATTTTGTTGGGCTATAAAAGAGGCTCACTTTGATAACTTTTTGTCACTGAGTGAACCAATTGTTTTGGCGTTACTTTTGATTGATTAAAAAACTCAAAAACGATCGTTTTGGGGCTAAACTTTGAACCCGATATTTGCAAAATAAGTTGAACGATGATAATTGTGCCGAATTTTCAGCAAATTTTAACTGCCTTATTTTTTGTCAAAAATCAAGCCAGAACAACCGCGCTTCAAATTTCAATTTTTATTCGATTTTCCGGATAATTTAAATCAACACTGAAGGTAAAAGCGGATTTCTAATTTGGTCGGCTTTTGCCGGAGGGGCTTGTATGCCTTCTTTCGGGAAGTCGACCCTCTGAGCACTCAAAAGGTCGAATAACTCTAAATTTTTTGGTAACACGCACTCGGCGGCAATTTATACTATTGTTTGCTTTTTACTTTAATGCTCGCCCTTGCCTAGAAGCAAAATTACAGCCCCCTAATCTCTGATTTAGTACTGGAGAGCTCTAACTCACTGGGGTTAGCTTTAATTTGCAGGGTCTTTAATGGGAAAACCCCTAAAATTTTGAGGAGAGCCCGCGCCAAGAAAACGCATGTTTTTGGTTAAAAAAATCGTTTCAAAAAATCGTTCCATTTTTTTCTTGTCAATTTTTTTCAGACAGAAAGTGTCTTTATGGTGCTTTTGTAGAGATAGAAAAAATGAGCTTGATTGGCTCAAAAAGGCGACAAAACTTTTTTGGAAATCCGCCATTCCGTCTTGAGAAAATTCTACATCCGCTCCTTGGTCTTTTCAAAAAATTGCAGAACGAAAGAATTGTTTTTTTTTTGCCCAGAAACGGCAGTGCTTCTATTAACCTGTGTTGAGCAGTTTTTCAAAAGATGGAAGAGTCTGTTCTATTAGCTTTCATTTCATCTCACTATCATTGTTCCGATTCAGCGCAATTCCTAACATTCTGATTCAATATACTTTATGCAAATTTACGATTTAATAATATATCAGATTTTAATGACTTTGCGCAGAGAAAACTTGCATGAATAATTGAACACTTCAATAAACTTTCATATGGTTGCGGTTGGAAAAATTAAACAAATTCCAACGCATAGTTAAGAATGCGCATCTATTTGGCGAACAAAATTGCATGGCGCACGCTTCAGAAATTCGCTTTTAAAGGGCTGTTTTTAAGTGAGGAAAGATGCGGTGATCATTGCGTTATTTAGTTCAGGTGAACATAGATCTTTTTTTGATAATATGAGTTAGGACCGATGGGTATAACTCATAGAGTAATTTCGGATAGGGTACACCGTCTGCTCGTCACGCTATCTTATTTTCGGCCGGATAGATTCGTGCAACTTCTTAGTCTAATACCGATCCTAATCTTACTCTTATACTATCTAGTCTCAGGTTGTTTAACTAGTCTCTGCTAGGCTCAATAGATCTAGGGTATACTGGTTTATTGCGGCTGCTGAAGTACTCGGGAGAGTTCAACTAATTTCTAAGTTAAATTCAAATCTCTCTGGTGCTGAAATTACAAGTAATTTCAGCACTTACAAATAAGTGGATTGTTAGTCAGATGGATCATGATTGGTTAATATTAAATACTTTACATTGGTAAAATATCTAATTTATCCAATCATAAAATGTAGTTTAGATCAGGTTCCAAATACAACGATATATGTTCAATAAACGATAAATCTTCAGAATAGCTTTTTTCAGAAGTGGATATTATTACAGCGAATATTCGCTGTAATAATATCCACTTCTGAAAAAAGCTATTCTGAAGATTCATCTGCTCAAGGCCTGATTCAGACCTGGGGCACACATGGGTCAGACCTGGTGCAGATCTGCAGCAGGTCTGACCCATGTGTGCCCCAGGTCTGAATCAGGCCTTGAGCAGATCTGCTTTTGTGATGGAATCCATGCCTGCCTCAGTCCTGATTCAGACATGTCCATGTCCAAACGAAACATGCACCATGTCTGGACAAGATCTGAAATAGGCAAGATTTTACGATGCTCAGATCTGGTTTCTAAGTTTTTGTAAGGTACGGGATGTTAATTTATCTTTCAGCTCAAGAGAACGGGAGCCGAACAAAAACAGTTTGGAGGTGGCCGAGTTCCAGAAACAAGTCACCCTCAATGCCCGAACACATCTCGCGGCTCGTCTCTCGGTTGCCGAATGCCCCCATTCCTGTTCACGACTTCCGTCAGCAGCCGAAATAACGAACGTTTCCATGATTTCGGCCGCTGCGATTGCCGCTCGAAACACGAAAGACGCGATTCCAACTACGTCGGGTAATAACAATTGCTTAAGCGCAGCTCCTGTCAATAACAATAACAATATAGAAGCAAACAGTGGAATGAACAGCATTTCACGAGAGGAAAAACGAGAGAACAAAAAGAGCAGATATCACTACTCACGCGAAGTCTCCTTTTCACTTCTGCTGATAAGTATAATATATGTAGCATGCGTCACTCCTTTTACCCTCGTGTATCTTTTGAACCAGATGGGTTTGGTTGAGAACCCAGTCCTAGAGGCTATTTCAAGACTCGTCCTTCAACTGAAATTCGTGCTGAATCCGATTGCATATACAAGGAGCAGCACTTTTCGCAACCGATTTAAGAGGATCTGGCACAACTTGCGGTACCCGAAGGAAACGCCCATTCCGAACACGCCCAGTCCGAACAAACATCAAAGAGTATCTAGTTTGAGAAGGTTCTTCGGCTCCAATAACCAAAACCATTCCGATCTTTAAATCTAGCACAATAAGGCCCCCCGTATATTTCCGGCCACGGAAAGAAATTTATATTCAGGTGTGTACTCTTTCAGACTCATGTACCCCAAAACGTGAAACAAGCGAACAACACCTCAATTATTGTGACCAATTAAAGAGTTTCAGTTGAATAAATATATAGCAATCTATCGGCTTTGAGCTCAAACTCAACTGTACAAATATCGTAACTGTGGCCGGACAACTTTAATTGCTTGCATTGGTACCGGCTCTTCTAGTCATAATTTTTGATATGATTTGAGTGGTTATTCTTTCATTTCAATCCAAAAAAACTGGTTTACGTGCTGCTTGACTTAAGAGTATGAAAAAATCTAAGAAAAACTGAGAAAGTTGAGGCCATTTTAACAAAGTTTTAATAAATGAAAAGTTCAATTCGTTGATCCACTTATTATTAAAACAAGGCTAATCGTGTCGGTTGAGACAGATTTTGCCATACAGCAGATTGAAAAATTTAACTCACAGAATTGTTTTTTTTTGCAGATTTCGCCCTGTTTCAAAAATTATCTCCCAAAGGCCTGGGATTTTACGAAGAGCTCGTGACGCGGTACTGGAAAACACGGATCACGTATCAGACCGATTAATCGAGCAAATATGTTGACGACTCTTTTAACAAACGGGACAAAAAATTGCTGAAATTATCAAACAAAAAGAAATCTGTCAGTTGTTTAGAAGGACGGATTTTTTTCGTAGGTCGCACTGTTAGCACCAATTGTATCAAGGTGAGCTTCCTTTGTTCAGATTTTTTTGGTTAAGAGAATTTTAATGATAATTTAGATAAATTTAAATATCTTCCCCTCCTATTGAGAAAAGAGTAATGTATTGACAGGCACTAAATTTACATACGCTTAGCCGATAAATTGGTACTTTCTACCGTTGGTAATTTTTGATTAAGGAGATTGATAATGAGCTCCAAAAAACATTGAAATGATAATTTTTTCCTTGCTTGTCAAGATAAAGAGCAAGATTTATTTTGAATCCAATTTGGGAAAAATTGGGACAGATAAACTATCCCACCAAATTGAAAAATTGAAAACCTTCACTTCCTCATTACTTTTCGAAACAAGTTGTGGCAAATGAAAAACTTCCGATTTCTCATACCGGGAAATTAGGACATGAAATTGAACGAGAAATCGCGCCGAAGATAAAACTTTATTTAAAGTTCAATACATTTTTGCTCGTCGCGCCTGATAGTTTCCGACAGACTATGGCTCAGTTTTTGTTGTAGGTCGATATTTTTTTTACTTTTTGAAATGAAAGCAGGAAAATTTTTTAGATAGCATAAAAAGTTAGAGCGAACATAGAAACAACGAAATCGACAAATAAAAAAACAGCTCAAATATTGCCTCAGGCTTTCCGGAAAGTCGAATCATTTAGTAATTTTAAATGCCAAAATATTGGTAAGGCGTGCTTTTTGAGAGCGTCATTTGGTGTATTGCTCCCCTGCCATGGCAATTATAGTGTGCGAGGACGAGCTCTAACTTGAAATCTAGCCTAAGGTCTTTCACAGTATGACCAATTTCGTTTGCAATTGTGATATCACTTGAAAACTGTAGACACAAAAAGTTAACATGTTCGCAATAAAGAGGTTCGTTACAAGAAGAGCTCAGTCAGGAATTTGCGTAAATGAGATGAACGGACTATATTTTGATAAGCTGAATAGCCTTTAAGCGATCCTCTGCGAATAGCAGAAACCACAATTAAAATTTAAAAATTGATTCGAAGTTCGGAACTAATTGTACCTAAGCGTATCATGCCATCGGATATATCTCTCTGTACTAAAAGTATCTCTGTGAACTTCTTATTAATGATGATCTAGTTCTGTCCACTTCACCAGGGAGCGATAGTGAAGTGGTTACGTCTACATCCCTCAATCGAAAATTCAGATGTTCGATGCCCACCATAATCCATGCTCATTGTATGAGGTTGAGGCAACATTACCCAGTCAAGAAAAATAGCCAAAAAATGCAGGTAGTTCCTAAGCAGGGGTGCCCAACGGCGGTGATACGTAGCGCTGAACAGCTTGAATGTTTGTCCTTTCGCTTGTGAATAAATTGGCCCAAAAACGGATAATTGTACTAAGGGTCGTTTTTTAAACTAGATAAAAATCGACACTTTTTTAAAATAAGTTACTGGCTATTTATTACGGAAATTAATACCATAAGGGGCCTTATATTAGAAAAAAATCCCCTGCAATCATGTTTTGTAAGTTTTTGAGGGTCTCAAAATTGACAAAAGGCTGATTTAGGACACTTAACGCGCATTTTTGCTTCTGTTAACCTGTGAGCCGCCAAAAAACTCCGGTCGGCAAACTTTCGAAACTGTAGTGAGATAAATTATTTCTAAGCCGTTAGATGCAAAAATATCGCGTTGTAATTTACATTTTGAGTGGGGAAACTTTTGCAAAAAAAGAATAAGTTTTTTCTAATAATCAATTTTTTTTTCCAATTCTTCATAAAATTTGCGGGCAGTCGGAACGTGGAAGGCGACAAGCGGATATGCGCACTCTTGTTTATGCTTTCCTTTTGAAATTTCAGAACAAGAAAAGCTTCAGAGACGATAAAGGGATGTTAGAACAAGGGAAGATTTCGCCCTGATACCAGCAGTCTTGTTTTGTTCATTTGCTCTAACAAACTTTTTACTGTTGGATGTTATCTGACTGATAAATAATTCAAACTGAAGTGGAACACACTGACTGCTCTGCTTGAAACCTCCAAAAAGTACATTATGTCAATAATTTTTTTCTGAATCAGCAAAGGTTTATTGCAAAAGGAGATTGAATTGAGTGAAAAATTGAAAACGAAGCTGGTTAATAATCAAGTTTCTATCTATTTGACCTATGTGCTTCATTTAGCAGCCTAACCTGCCAAGAGATGATTTCTAATTACCGTTTTCCCAATTTTGAACGGGTAAATATTCCATGCATTTGGGTTTGATTACATCATGTTCCCTGTCAAAATCAAAATCATCTCTAATTTGCCAATATCGTCTTTTCAAGCAGGAAATAGAAAGCTAAAAAGTAATTTTAGTAAGCTATTTGCTACTTTCAGAATTTTTTGGGTTTTATCGCTAAGTGGAAATTTGATTTAAGTACTTCTATCTTACACACCTACTGATACTGATGAAGCTCAAAGTATTTGGTTTCTCTAACCGCGTTTAATTCAGCCTGATAGCTGCCAAGATGAAAAAAGCGAAGATAAGTAATCTAGAACATTTAGTAATTAAAATTCCTTAAAATAGCACATGGCCACCAGTGACTTGGAAAAGGGAAAGAAATACAGTTCTAATTATTTGAGAATCAACAGATCAAGACTAACGTGTATCAAAATTTGTGTTGTCATAAATATAAACATATTATTTCAGTTACTTAGAATACAGTTATTTTGTTTACCTCATCATTCGTGCTGCCATAAATATGAATTTGTATCCCTGCTGAAAAAATTGGTAACAAATTTTTTCCCAAGGTGCATCAATGAAAAAAATAAATATTATTTTTAAAATTTTCTGCAGCTCAGAGTTCATTTCTTTGTTGGCGTCTATTGTTTTTTTTCTTCTAATTTTAAGAATTCAGGGTAGACCATGATCTAGATTCACGATTTACTTCAAAACTTTAGTATCATTGGCAATAATGAATTTGTTACCACCTTTTTGCAATTTTTATGTAGTTGATTATTTTCAATGCCTGAACTGTATCCTAGAAATAGCTAATTAAATCTTCATTAAATCTTTTTACTGGTCTATGGTACGTTAGTTGCAATAAACTCCCCCAGAAACATAAAATTTTTTAAATATTTTTACAACCCCCACCACCCTTTTCCCCCTAAATCTACCCTTGGTTCCTAATTTTACGAGAACAACCTGTGAGTTGCGTGAAGCGCAGGTGGATTGTCGTGGGGTGACACTTTTCCGTGATTTTTTTTGCTGTTTTGGGTTCCGCGAACAAACAGCTGAAAAACTGTATTGCTCAAATCCCTCCAAAAGCAACCAAAATTGCGGACTCTGTCCATTTTAAAAAGAAGTGATGATTAAAAGCTCAAATTTAAAAAAGGCATATGTTACTTGTGGCTGTTTGAAAACAGCTAATTTGAGTAACTGGGGACGAAAACGTCCGCGGCTGTTTATATCGGCTTATCAGTCAGTTCAATTGGGTTTTAGGTAAGTTATTTGGAGCTGTTAATACTTACCTAGACACAAACTACATGCGCGGTAATGTTTTCAAAGAAATAATTACAAAAAATCGAAACCAAAAAAAATGATTCGAAACATCTCAATTTTTTGATGTTTTTATCATTTGTGAAGCAAATTTTTCTTCTGGCAGTTTGAAGGACGAGCGGGCGGGTCTGTGGTCAGTTGGTAGGGCGGTCAGATTCATCGAGATTTTGCGCTGGACACAAGCAGTCTTGCTAAATAAGTTTTTTGTTAATTTTTGTAGTCTTCCGTAGTAGAAAGTTTTCGTATCGTTTCTCGCACTCAGTAAAAAAAGAAAATGATAGATTATGAGGGATTTTTATAGTCAGTCTTCATAATTTTCAAAAAGAATTGATTACAATTGATTAAAAATGGATTATAATGTTACTATTTTTCGAAACAATAAAAATCATAATAATCGAATATAATCGATTATAATTGATTATTTTTTAAAAAGTTTTTTCTTGTTAATTTTTAATGGATTAAAATCCATTATAATGGATGATAATCCATTGTTGTTCAAAAAACGTCATCGCTTCATTTCGTTTTCTTTTTGTTTTCTTTTAAGTGCTTTTCAGTTGATTATTCAACAAACTTCATCGCTTCATTTCGTTTTTTTTATTTGTTTTGTTTTGTGTACTTTTCAGTTGGTTACCTAACTAAAAAACGGCTATTTCGTACTTAATGCTTAAGCTTAAAGTAAGTTTATTTTTACTGTGTTTTCATGCAGAATAGCTAATTTATAATCGATTATAATTGATTACTTTTTGCAATATAATTTTTTGATAGAAAAAGGGATTATAATCGATTATAGAGATTATATGAGATTTTCGGAAAATTTTAATGAACTATAATTGATTATAATCTTTTAAAATTTTACCAAAATTTTACAATTATAATGGATTATAAATCGTTTAAACATCTTAAATTAGCGCTTGTAATTAAAATTTGATTATAATTATAATTTTGCTAAACGAATGATTATAATTATAATATAATCAATTATTTTCTTTTTTTTAGTGAGTTCGATTTCTGCCCAAACTTGCCATGTTCTCGACTAAATTATTTGCGCTTTGAAGAAGAATTTATTCATATTGGTGAGAGTGTAACGCGAATTATTTATGCGTGGCGAATTATCCCGCAC